CCAAATTTCATCGCGCGGTCACGATTGTCTGGTAGTGTTTTATTGTTTATTTTTTTTATAAATCAGAATGACTTGAAATTTGGAGGTTATGTATATCTTACTGAGGCGCATCTAATAAAAATATAAAAAAAATTATCCTCGAAAATAAAATTGACCAAAATATGTCCAAAACATTTTGGGGGCATTTTGGTCAAATTTTTTCATGTAAAATATGTTTTTTTTATATTTTTCGAAGATTCCCCTAGTTTTGATGAATACACGCTCGAAATTTCAGATCATTCCGATTTGTAAAAAAAAATGAAAAATTAAACATTACTGGACAACCATGACTGCACGATGAACGTTGGACGATGATGGGAGTAGGCAAAATCACTATTCATTTTCGCCTATAAGCGTTGCGTAGTGTTTTCCTATATATATATATATATTAATTTTTTAAAATACTCGACCTAACCACCAAAACCGAATCAGCAAGCGCCTAGTTCCGATTTAACCGGCCGGTTCTAAGTTGAACTAGCCAGTCTATTCATTTTCTCAAACCAAGGGTTTCTGGTTTAGTAATCATCACTGGACACGAGAATCATTATTTGGGTTTCAAAGAACTAGTAATCATCACTATACATTTAAAGCATGATTAAATAAAGGGAAAAGTTAATATAGAGCCTAGGTTCTAAACAATCAAATTAGAGACGACCTCAAAAATTTCACTAGAAGAGGTTGTTTTGATGCCCAAATATCTTCAAAAATTTCACTAGAAGAGGTTGTTTTGATACCCAAATATCTCGACATCAAGATGCATGGACTTGAGAAAAAAAATGGATTTTAAGTTTTGGAAATAGTGCACTTTGTAAGGCATTTTGGACCATCAATTTTTAAGTTAGTTCAAGTTTTCATAGATCTGCTCGATCTACACTATTTTTAAAGCTTTAAATTTTATAATTAAAGATAAACATATATTTTAAGGCTAATAAAAGATTTACGGTATTGAAACACTTTTCTCGACACTATTTGAAGGTGGGCTCTAATTTGATTGTTTCTTGGCTCTATACAAACCGTACCCTTAATAAAACACATCTAAATGAAGTTGAAAAATAGTGAAAAAAGGAAATTAAAACATTTGATTTGTGCCTAAGGGTATTCTTGATTTTTTTTTAAAAAAGATGGGAAATGACAAAACACTTTCAAGTCTTTGCCAAAATAATAAAAATTCAAAAAACATTACAATCAAATTCCTTAATTGTTGGAATTATATATATATATATATATTATTTTTATTTTTTTGATTTTTATTTAAATACTCAGCCGGACCACCAAAACGGGCCAAAACCGGATCAACCAGTGCCCGGTTCCGATTTAACTGGCCGTTTCCAAGTTGGATTGGCCTAGTTCTCAAACCAAGGGTTTTTTGCTTGTATTTAGTAATCATCACTGGACACTAGAATCATTATTTGGGTTTCCTAAAACTAGCAATGGCATTTATAGAAACTCGTATCCTCACTTAGCTTAGGACTTAATTCTTTTTTTCCCCTTTTAATTTGCGACTTTAATATGTATTGATTTTGTTGAATGAATGTTGCAAGTTTCTTCCATAGAATACCACTGTGCAAACCTTGTAGAAGTCATTTGGAAATGCAACATGGCAACATTTATTTCACTATACGCAATGATCTTCATAATAGTTTGTCTCCTCTTTCATATTCTTAGTATATAGAGCAGAAAGAAGAGAAATGTGGCTCTTAGCTACTCTCATAAAGTGAATGGAAGTAACACTGTGAATGAAAGGAAGATAATGAACAAGAATCATGCTTAGTGGCAGTAATCCATGATTTGCACATGTTGTGATCATCATTGGCTCAATTGTAGAAATCCCTCAAAACATCATAACGTGACTCCAATTTGAAACAAATGAACTCTTGTGCATCAAATTTACTACAGAAGTCTGAAAAAAACTTGTTGAACCTTGTAATTAGCTTCGAGATTCTTTTTTATAGGTGAAGTGTTTTATAATCCAATGAACTGTGGAATATAATCGGAATATGATAGACCTTTTGTGTCAGTGTCATCAATAATTTTTTGGGATGGTGAGGAAGCCAGTATACAATTGAGTTTACCTATTCTGATGGATTATACATATTTTTCCTTCAAAGAATTGTTTGCAATTATTTTAATATGAATTATATGATAGGAATTTCTTTGATTGTATATGTAAATCTTGGATATTTTGTGGGTATTTCTTGATTATATATAATATCATATCTTGATCCTCTTTTCACTTTGTTCACTATAATTCATCTCCAGGCATCTTGAACTCTATTCTGGACATGAGTAAAATAGTGGCAGGCAAGATGCAATTGGAGGAGGGAGCTTTTCATCGGAACCCTTGAGGAAGTGGTTGATTTTTTTTTTGGGTTGCCGTGAAGAATGGCGTAGATGTTATGTGAGATCTCTATGATGGTACAGTAGAAAGATATTTTTGTGTGAAAGGTGAATATGAAAAGTTGAAGTTCATGGCAGAGGAGCACATTGTTGTTCATGCGTGGGTCATAAAGCCTAGGGAAGAAGCATTTGTAGCTAACTCTAGCTATAAGGGTAGTTTACTCAATTCATGGGGTTGTATCATGAGATAGAGATAGTGATGAGCTTTTGATATTCAAGGGGTTTGGGTGAAGATTCTATATAATTTGCATTTGAGCTGCTCCACTCGGGAAAGAAGTTCCAATGCTGATCGCCATCTGGATCACCCAATTCAGGGTGATCCTGGGTAAAAGTATTTCAAAAGGAAAACAGTTAGCCGAAGCATTGTTTCCAATAAAAAGAAATGGATTCAAGAAGGTATACAAGGAATGGCCAATCTGAACTGAGGATTGCAATGGAAACCAGACCATGTCCGCTTTCAGGGACTCTGTGATATTATGGATATTGGAAGGAATCCTCGATATCTGGACCCTATGGATATTGGAAGCAGTCGTAGTTCCGTAAGGGAATTGGGCGGTCCCTTGCTGATCCTAATTTAGATATTGATCCCAGTCCAGATTAGGCTCGAAACCATGATAAACGGTACTTTTTTCTCTCCACCATATGTCAACCAAGTAGCACAAGACACATCAAGATTATGCATGACAAAAAGAAGGTACATTATGGTGCTCAAAGGCTTCAATGAATTAAGGGGTTTCTTCAACCATGGAAATGTTGGTAAGGCCCTAAACAAGAAAAATGCCCCTTCTCTACAATGAAAAACGAAATCCAATTAAGCTGGAACATTCAGCATTCCACTCTCTTCTCTACTTTCTGTTCACCGTCGCGCATGGAGGTCTGATGAGTCCTGATTTTCAAGTAACTCTTACAGTTCATCAATGTCATCACATTTGTAAATTTCCATACTACCAGCTAATCATCAAAACAGTAGAAACATCCAATATACTAAAATATTTAGCATTCATCTCTCTCCTCTAATTTCTTTCCATCCTTTGGTATAGAGGTCTAATGAGTCTTGATTTTCAAGTAGCTCTTACAGATCATCAATTTCATCACATTTATAAATTTCCATGTCAACCACTGATCCATCAAAACAACATAAATGTATTTAGAAATAGAAAGCAATAAACACAATAAGGTGGTTAAGTAGAGAGACGAGAAGATAGAGATAACATGGAAAGAGGAAATTATTTCAAACATGCAGAAATACACATAAACAAAGAGATGGGACTACTCTCACCTTTGGGTTACATTTTTTTTTTACTCCTTTTCACCCTTGCCAGTCTCGCCTTCACCCTCCTCACCTACACATTGATTCTTCAAAAGAAGAGAGATACTCATTTAGATTAATGTGATAAATATAGCTAGATGGTTAAAGAGAAAATAAGAGAGCGAAGAGGAGAAGATAGAGATACCTGTAAAGCGAGAATTATTTCGGACATGCACAAATAAAAGGGAGAGTTGGGGGTTTATTCTCACCATTGGTTCGGTTTCTTTCAGGCGTTACACATTCAAACACCATCCAATCATCGTTAAATTGGGATTTTCCGCATTGGGATTGCCTGTGTAATGTGCTAATGTATTCTTGAAGCCAAGCCAATCAATTTTCCCTTACGAACAAGAATGGCTTGATCAGTTTTGAGTGCCTTCCAGTAAACAGAAGTCATAACACATTCATTTGGGATGGTATTAGTGGCTGCATAGAAGTACCATTCATTTCTTTGGAAAATATTATTTACAGCTGATTCATGGATGACAGAAAAAACTGGATTACGATACATATTAATACACAATTTGCTTGAATGTAAAAAAGAAGAAGTTGATATCTAGTTCATATTCATTTCATTATTAGCAACTATTGAAGGATACCTGGAAGAAGCCACGGATCATAACCATAGAGATTCTCTTCTATTATACATTTATGAGATGGTTGTGACAATTGTTTTTTTTTTTGGGTAAGTCAGTGGGGGAGAAAGCCCCCTACCCGCTTTTCATTAATACTAAAAAAAAGAAGAGTAATAAAGTTATCTTACAGCCCTAGAATAAGGCAGATGCGCTGTGACAATTGTTTATAAGTGAGGAAAAGTGTAATCAACATATCTTATGTAAGAGCGAATCGAACACCTGGAAGCAATTCCCCATCTAGTTTCCATCGATCATGAACCAAGCTTCTGAAAAAGTTGGAATGCTGAACCACCTTCTTATCCATTCAATAGAATGAGAATCCCACCCTAAATCATCACTATTTATGAGTTAATACCCCTTCAATATTCTCAAATCAAACTAAGGGATATAAATCATGCTGCAAGTAGGATAGAGGGAAGCAATAGTAAATTTCAATTTTCAATGGCAAAAAAGGACATAAATCTCTATTGAGCTGTGAAAATGGATTTACAGACCCTAAATCATAACTATTTATAATTTAATACCCCTTCAATATTCTCAAATCAAACTAAGGGATATAAATCATGCTGCAAGTAGCATAGAGGGAAGCAATAGTACTTTTCAGCTGCAAATGATGAGAGAGAGAGAGAGAGAGAGAGAGAGAGAGAGAGAGAGAACTTTATTAGACAACATAAGCTTAAAGGGAATAGGGAACAAATTGGGGCGTGTCATTTCCTCGCATAAAGTAAGAGGTTCTACAAGAGAATGGAAACGAGCCACAATCATTCATTTTGATGCTTATCCATAAGGTTATAACACTTCCACAAGCCCAATGCATCATACGCATCTCCGAATGTAAAAGAACACAGATTTGCACAAATATAAAACAGTCGGCAAGAGATTCAATAAAAGAACAGACAAACATGCATGAAAGGAAATTAGAACTACAAAGAGACTAAACAAGGAGAAAACTAGTGTGTGATAACAAATTGAGATAAAAAGACCCAATAATTATCTAACACATATTTCGACACAAACTAGAAATGAAAGTCGATTTTCAAGGGACTAATGACATTGGTGAAAAAAAATTCCAGAGTCCAAGAACCAAAAAAATGGCAGAATATATTATTATTATTATGTAAAAATTTCAAGAGTCCGAGAACCAAAAAAATGGCAGAATATATCGTTATTATGTAAAAAAATACTTCAGGGAATGAAATAAAAAAATCCAAGTCATTAGTAATCAAGAGGAAAAGAGGATTTGAAAGCCTAAATCTAGGTGGTCTTTATTATATGGTCTAATATTGATTCTAATTTTCTAAAAGACAACTAATAACCAAACATCTCATTGTTTCATGACTCTTTCGTGAAACTAACTAAATCAAACAACCAAATCAGTATAAAGTTAAAAAAACCCGATAAAATCAAAGCTAATGAACTTAAAGGCCTGTTTGGATGGAAATTAATCCTTTCAGGGCCATATTACTTAGTCTATCTAAAGTAAGGATATGCAGTAAACTATTACATTGTTAGTAAATATGCAAGTATATCTGTTTATTGTTTTATAAATTATTTGGATGAGGTCGGGTAGGGAGAGACCTGCACTTTGTCCCATTCTCCCTTTCCAAATTCCTCATTTTTGTCAATATTCGTGTTTCCAAATGAGGTTAGGTAGCGAGAGACTGTCAGGTAGGGAAGATTTATATCTTTTTCTTGCCACAGAGGAATTTGGAAAGGGAGAATGGGAAACACAAATACAACTTGCAAGGAGAGACCTGCACTTCACCACTTTGTAACACTCTTTTGTCTAACTGCAAGTTCCAACATTCTTTTATTTAAATATAACTTGCTGGCCTCAAGCATCCTCCAAAATAAGAAAGCCTTCATGGAAAGTTCTTCCATCACAATTTCACAAAACCCCTTCATAACCAATGCTCCATGGATTTTATAGTAACAGTAACACAACAAATTCAGCAATTAGGGTTTCAAAGTATCATATGATTGATGCTAAAATTCAGCATTGCATCATAAAGCAGTAAAACTAGATTAATCAGCAAGCTTAAATTCATTTAAAAATGGACATGAATGTAAACTCCAAGGTGAAAGACAAGAAGAAATATCAGAGAAAGAGTAGAAAAAAAAAAACAGAGGAAAGAGTTTCCAATGAAAAAAATAAAGTAAATCCTCAGTGGCAAGAAAAAGATATAAATCCTCATTACAGACAATTCTCAATGATCTAACTACGAAATTTCTCAAATATGGATTAAACAGGCTAAAATTCATATACCATGCAATATCACAATTAAAAACCATGTATTGTAGCTTGTAATTCCAGTAAAAAAATAAGTAAAATCAAACAAAGTTGGGTAAGTTCCCAAAAACATCAATTCCTTTCTTTCCTGATCTGAGTATTGCAACATACATAACAAAGATAACATAATCTCTAAATATTTTCTGCCGATTTTCTCCTGAAGTTAAGAAATGTATCAAACTTTCTTAAGTCTAGACAAGCAGCCGATCTTTTTCTAAGTTAAGAAGTGTATCTCATTTAAAATCCATGCCGTGTAGCCTTTAAGGGAAACCATAAACAATCACAAAACAGATAAGTAAATCTTGTAATTCTTCACAAAAACTTCAAGATGAGTCAATTAGAGCAACAAAATGATCAAAAAACCATAATAACTAAATATTCAAAGCCAATTTTCTCTTGAAGTGGGGAAATGTATCAAAATTTTATTATTCTAGAGAAGTAGACGATCTTCTCCTAAAATCAAGAAATGTATCAAAATCCAGACAAATGTGAGGGAAACATACCAGAAAAGAGGAAGATTAGGGCACCTGAATCAACCTCCAGGTAACAATTTCTCTGTAATTTCCATCCAAAAAGACAAAAAAATATCACAGTTTATAAACCAAAACTCCAATCCATAATGGAAAATGCATGGATAAAATTCAAAAAAAAGGAGAAAGAAATGACCACAAAAATAATGAGAAGGAGAATTGAGATACATAAAGGGAAATATACCAGAAAGGAAGAAGATTAGGGAACCCGAAACAACAAACTAGATTTGAGCACCGATTAAATCAGCATTTATTGGGTATTAATATGTGCAGTTCGAGTCCATATGACCCAGATTGACTACCCTCCTCCGCTAAGACCATCAAGCAGGAATTAGGATCGGTCCTTATTCCTGCTTCATAGACTTAGCGAGAAAACAAAAAAAATACAGCGAGGTGATCAATGTGAAACCGTAAGATGGGGTCTGAGAAGAGGTGCAGAGAGAGAGAGTCGTTCAGAGAGAAGTTATAACAGAAAGAGGTCGATAACTGAACAGAGGAAATGCTCCCGCGGGAGCATCAAATCTTAGATAAGTTTCTAACGGGGAGAAAGTCGACAAGGCTCCACCTATAAGGCAAGCATGGAAGTTCTATCCTCTTTTTTATCCAACCGTCCATCTAAGATTGCCTCAATCATAATGTCACCTCTCTAAATTATTTTATTTTTATTTTATAAATTATTTTGACACCTAAGTTTGGACGTTTATTTCTTTATTAAACTTGCCCTAGCGAAAAATATAAAAAAATATTTTTAATAAAATAAAATAACCAAAATACCATTAAAAATTCAAAGGGTATTTTGATCATTATATTTTATCGAAAAATTATTTCTAATATTTTTTTATAGGTGCACCCAAATGAGATGATGGCACATACCAAATTTCATATTTATACAATTTTATAAAAAAAATTAAAAATGAAATACTTTGAAATTTCGGATCTAAGATCAACAGTAGTGGCTCTCTTGATCAAAATTGGACGGCTAGATGGTAAGGGGAGGATAGAACTTCTATGCTGTAGGAGAAGCATAGAAACCTTTCCCCTACCTATAAATCATTATCATTAAAACCAGATCATATGCTTGTACAATGCCGTCGGGTGTTTGGTCTAAAGTAGAAATCGGATTTGGTGAAAATTGATGAAAACTATTGTTTGATCATATGCCTAGTTAGATCAGCCAATTTAACTAGTTTGGTTCAAGATAAAAATCAAATTTGGTAAATTAATCATTGTTTGATCAATTGTGCCTAGGTGGATCAACGAGTTTTAACCGGGTCAACCAACAAAATGAACTTTGGCAATTTTTTTTAAAACATTGGATACATTTAATCTATTGCATTCATTTTTTTTGATTTTTATTCTAAAATCCAGTTCAACCGGTTCGATAAGTTTTGTTTGGATCAAATCTCTCACCGGTTTGATAGCCAGTGAGATATTGATAACACTACTTTCAAGCGAGATAGTATTGAAATTTATACAATAACTCACTGTACACAACTCATGAAATTTTTTTTTACATGTTAAAAGTGAAAATTGAGGGTGGGACATTATGTTGAGGTATTAACACCCCCAATCACCCATGCCTCAACCTCATTTCAATCCAAATAATATTAATATCTAATTTATACCATTCAACTAAAATGGAGGTTGTATATTGTTATAATCTTACTTGTATATATAAGGTTGTTACACTACATGTGTAATTAACACACATATCCTCCTAAAATATCGTTTTGTTTTCGTAAAAAAAAAGAAAAAAAAAGAAAAAAAAAGAAAAAAGGAAGAAGAAGAACAAGAAAGAAGAAAAAGAAAGGAAGAAGACGAACTAGAAAGAAGAAGAAGAAGAACAAGAAAGAAGAAGAATGTTTGAAGGGATGACAATAAGAGGGAGCTAGGATTGCAATGACGGTTGGTTAAACTCGGGTTCCATATCAGAGACATTATACCTCCCACATGGTTCTTAAAATCCATTAATGGTACTTGGTAAAGCATTCTACCATCATAGCTGGATCCCTTGAGTTTCGAATCAATCACAAACAGCAGGATCCTATGATGCAAAGCTCAATTTTGATAACTCTTTTTATTCAATCATGCTTAACATTTGACGTAGGGCCTATTTCATGGCATCACTCATTTACATCTTGCTAGAATAAAACTAGTGCTAACAAAAAGCTTCTTTGTTAAAGAGGAATATTATCCGGTTTTTTTTTAAACCGACACTGCCTAATTTCCTTAATGTTCTTAATTCTGGCAGGGTATAGCTTTAGTGCATTAAAGGATGTGCGTACCCTGAGATATGTACTGTCCATATAAATAGACGGTGCAGACCGCACCAGGTTTACAAAGAGGGCAAAGTGGGTAAACCAAGCCCGGTTAACGCTTTTTGGGTTTTAGCCTCTCTCCTTCTCCCAATCTCTCTGGGTTGCCCTCTTTTAATGTTTTTCTCCTCTCTCCATCTCCCTTTCTCTCGTCATCTCCATTCATTTCCATCTTTAACACAAAGAAGAGAGACATTTCCATCTTTAACACAAAGAGAGAGAGAGACCCCAGAGACTGGTGAAGTAAGAAGGGGAGATGGACAGAGGGCAAAACCCAAATGGATGCGAACCATGGTTCCTGTGCCCAGTTACCCCTCTATTGGAGAATGGGTGCAATCTGCACATCAATTTAGATGGAAGGTGCATATCTCAGGGGATGCGCGATAATAGGTGCACCCCCGATGTACCCAAGACTTCTCCATTCTTATATCCTTAAATAACCTCAAATTATTTACATGTCAACAAGAGAATTTGGGTTTCCTCATCTATTACTTACAAGTTACAACTGATTATGTTGATGTTAGACGTTGAATAAAAAAGCTCATCAAGAAAGAAAAGAGTTCAAGTTATTCTACTCAAATCTTTTTTATAATGTCATGCATTGTACACATTGTATAGTTAGCAAGCAAATGACAATCATGATTCCAAAACCACAATTCCATAAAAACAACCAGTTTGCAAAATACACTTTCTTTCATGGTAATACATGGGGGAGTTATGTATAAGAAGCAAGTAAAGGGTTTGAAAGCTTCATACATCTCAATCAGGGCTGTGAATGGGTCGGGTCGAACTTGAGCCAGAACCGACCCTACAAAGTCCAGGTCAAGTGAACCTAGAAACAAACAGTAGGGTTAGGTCGGGTCTGTGTCCAAAATTAATGTTTTTTAACATATAATACATGTAAATTTGTGTGAGTGTGTGTTTATGTGGATGAAAAAAGTTTATATAAGGTGTTGCTTTATACTATTGAGTAGGTTGTACCTCAAAAATCCTCTAAACTAGATTGTTTTGTCGTTGGAATCCCGTCCAATCTGATCATCTCAACCTCATGATCATGGATACAAAGAAAAAAAGAATTTCAGTCCCTAAAAATATTGCATCTTGTTACAAATTATCTGGACCGTCTATACTCACAATTTTCAAGTGCTTATAGATCTGGCCTATCTGTACCATTTTTGGCATTTGGAATCTCATAACTAGATATCAAAATAAATTTTCAAGCCATCATAAAGTTTTTGACAGCGAAATTACATCTCCAAGCAAAATTAAGAGCTTTGTGTTACTTCAAGAGTATAAGGAGAGCACCTTATACAAATCTCACTCTGTAGTCCATATATACTATATCCCCATGCCAGGTGGTTAGGGTTAACACCCACCCGGATCCAACCTGGGACTGGTTTAGATCAAGTGGACCCGAAGCCAATCCTAGACCGGGGTTGGGTTGACCCAATCATGAACAAGTAAGAGGAGATGCAATCTATTGACTAATATGCAACTCAATCCCACCTTAAAGGCCATAGAAATGCTCGAGATTTGCGGTCCAAGACATTAAGTGCAGGATTGTGCAACCGTTTATAGAAGCATCATTCCTGTGTTTCTTTTGTGGACATATAAATATACCATATCTTTCTGGTCATAACATTCCTAAATGAAGCTATGGCTTTCTCACGTTCTATGTTAATTGGAGAATTTGGGAGAAAAATAAATGAGCTCTAAAAAGTCTTGGTGTTTAGAATCACAATAGCATGTCAGGTGGGCTGAGTATTGAAAAGCATGAAAGATGTGCACACTCTTCGGATTCAAGGTACAATATAACAGATACAACCACGCAGTTCTTACTCTAAGAGAAAAAGTTCAATTAAATATTACATCAACAAAAATGTAAGAAATAGTTGGAATTTTCATCAGCACAATAAGAACCCTAAAAGGTCTTTTGCTATCTTAGTGCAGCTGCTAACTTCTTCTGTATAAGCTCAGCATTAAGTCGAGGGGATAGTCTTGGAAGCATTTCCTGAAATAGGAAGTTCACCGCTTGTCATGCAGGAGAGGCACAAAACCCAGTCTTTATTTAAAGTGTATCAAAGAATAATCAGATAGAAATAAGAAAAAAATTTGTATCAGAAAAATGCGAATTTAAAGCTGTTTAAGAAAAAGGAACAACTTTGATCACCACAATGTTAAATTACTTGGCTCGGGCTGGGTACTCCCTTTGTTATGTGCTTGCTTTTCCTCAATAAACTCCACCACGTATGCAAGGTGGAAGGGGTAACGTGGCTTAAAGTGGATGAGTCCATGTAAGGGTGAATAACCCAAATCAGTAAGAGGATTTTGAGAATCCTAGTCTTTAGGTGGTGTGAGTAATAAGTCAGTAGAAAGTCGTTAAGAGTTTTAGTCTTTAAGGAGTATGGGTTGAATGAGTGCTAAAATAAAAGAGGGAAGTTGAAAATTAGAAAAGGGTTATATAAAAGTGTTGTAGCCGATGGTGTGGGTAGATTTTTTATTCCATTAATACATTGTGTTAGAGGTTAGTTTCCTTCGAATAAACTATTTTTCTCTCTTCCCCTTACCTTCTTCCATATTGCAAATCTACCAAAATAGGTAAGAGTAAGAACAAGGGAAAGAATCGTGAGCTTCCTACTTAGCTTGTGATCAAGTCCAGGGCGACTTAAACTCTTCCATTCGGCTTACTCGATCTGGTTACCGAGTACATAATAACTGGTATAAGAGCAAGTTACCCAATCAAGTCCAGTGCAACTTGGACTCTTCCATTCGGGTTATCCGATCTGGTTACCGAGTACATACTAACTGGTATCAGAGAAGTTACCCGATCAAGTTCAGGGCGACTTGGACTCTTCCATTCGGGTTACCCGATATGGTTACCGAGTACATAATAACTGGTATCAAAGCAAGTTATTATGTAGTCGGTAATCAGATTGGGTAACCCGAATGGAAGAGTCAAAGTCGCCCAGGACTTGATCACGAGCTTAGGAAAGCTCACGATTCTTTCCCTTGTTCTTACTCTTACATATTTTGGTAGATTTATAATATAGAAGAAGGTAAGGGGAAGAGAGAGAAACAGTTTCTTCGAGGGAAACTAACCTCCAACACAATGCATTAATAGAATAAAAAATCTACCCATACCATCGGTTACAATACTTTTACATAGCCCCTTTCCAATTTTCAACTCCCTCCCTTATTTTAGTACTCATTCAGCTCATACTCTCTAAAGATTAGGACTCTTAACAACCTTCTACTTACTTATTACTCACACTACCTAAAGACTACGACTCTCAAAATCCTCTTATTGATTTGGGTTATCCACCCTTACATGGACTCATCCACTCTAAGCCATGTTACCCTCTTCCATGCTGCATACGTGGTGGAGTTTCCATGCTGCATACGTGGTGGAGTTTATTGAGGAAAAGCAAGCACATAACACCCTTGCCCGAGCAAAGTAACTTGGGTGAGTCCACTAGGGCTCGCCTAAGTCTTGCCCAAGCTTAGAAATCACTAAAAGAGCCTAGGGAGAGAAAGAGCACAGGGTGGTCAATCGAGAGAGAGAGGGGCACATGGCCAAGAGAGAGGATGGGGCACATGTTTGGCCACATATCTCTCTCTCTCAAAGCATTTTCTTCAATCAACTAGGGCTTCCTCTTAAACCCCTAGCTTCCACCTTCACTAGCAAATGCTCATGAGATACACAGACATAATGGAATGATTCATTATCCGATACTAAGGATTCCATTGGAAGGATCTCATCCACAAGTAAATAGCCATATCATCGAAATCATAACCCTCTGCTTATTCCACAGTGGAATGTCTTCATCTGATGGAGAATTGATGGAGAAATCAATTCTGTCATCGATCTCTTTCTTCACCATCCTCTTCCTCTTTTTTAGCATAAATCAGAAAAAGGGAAAGAGCACTTGGCGAGGGAGAGAGAGCTTTACAAGGAAGACAGAGAGATGAAAAAGGGGGCAGATTTCCACCCCCCTCTTATTTTTCTTCAGCAAGAATTTCAGGTAAGACCCTATACTCACCCGAGTACCGTATAGCAGTACCCACCTCCGAGGGAGGGCACTACCACTCGCCTCGGCAGGGTGCTGAGACTGATTAACTCTGCCGAATCCGAGTCTACTCAGGTTAAGATTTCAAACACAGATTCGCCATGATAACTTAATTTTCTAAATTAAGAAACACTATAACCAGCATAAAAGTTTCAGATATAATGTTTGAGTCACCCAAAAACACCCATATTTCATAGAGTTGTTTTTCTCTTTGAGACCATTTCCCATGTAAATAAGAACAATAGAAGAAATATTCATAGGAATATCTCCAGATAAACTAAGATCAATTTAGAACTTGGAGTTGCTGCCATATATTAGTTTACAACCCAAAAAATAAAATCAAATAAAAACAATGTAAGACTTAAAAGATAATTTAGCCCATTTTTGTCATAAAGGAGACTTTAATCCTGAAAGAAATCAATTTATTGAACTTTCAAGAAAACGAATCAGAGAAAAAAGAGAGAGAGAGAGAGAGAAAACCCACCTCTGTGCCATCAGCAAGGACCCTCACCAAAACTGGAATCTCATACTGGTAAGCTTTCTCCCATTCATGGTTGCTCGATATATTCCTTTCCTAAATGTCCAAAAAAAACTGACATTTTAGGAACTTTGATAGAAACTAAGGAATAAAAACAGTGGAGAGAGAAAAATCAAGAAAAATGAGCAAAATTACGAATTGGGATTTTCTTAGTGTGTTAAGTAAACCTGCAACTGAACATCATGGAGAGAATCAGGCCCCGGAAGCTTGAAAGCAAGATGAAGCTTTTCTTTGAGGCCATCGCATAGGCAACACCCAGGCTTTGTGTATATTATCAGCTTCCTCTGTGACTTAGTGGAGGAATCAGACTCCCACGAAAGAGCAGAGGCCAATGGCCGGATATGGGAAGAAGCCCTGTGCCTTCCATTAACTATGGCGGAAAAAAATGGAGGCCGCGCTGATAAAAATCTAGCGGCCATTCAAGAGAGAGACAGAGAGAGAGAGAGAGAGAGGTGGGAGAATGGAACGTTTGATTTCCAACTTTCGTGCGGGAGAGGGAGAGAGCTGGGACGCTAGCATTTCTTTATTATTTTCATATTTACAAATAGAAAATGTTTTGACAGGGATGATGCGGTTTGTATGGAGCCTAGCCTCTAAACAATCAAATTAGGGCCTACATTCAAATATTGTCGAAAAATATGATTTCAATCAATGGTTTAAAAAGTGGATCTCCGAATCGGGCACCTCAAAAAACCGAATCAGATCGACGAATCGGCGATCCGAATCGGGAATCGGTTGAATCGGTCTGATTAAAGCTTCAAAAAAATCCGAAAAAATTATTAAAATTCATTATAAATGTTGTTTTTTAGGAATCCAATAAAAAGTGAGGGTACTACATTATTAACTTTCATTTTTTTTTATCAATTTGTGAATATTGAGATGCTATTTCCCTGTATAAACTTATTTTAAGTATTCAATTTGCATCACATAAAAGAAAAATCATAGAATTATCATGGATAAAATATATAATTATAAATGGACTATTATCAAGAGTAGACTAATCAACGAAAGAATGGGCATTAAAATCTTGTTTGGACGAAAAACGCTAATCTTTTAAAAAAACCCAAACTATTACAGCCTAACTAACTATAATTCAAAATTATTACAACCTCACTAATTATAAAATTATGTACTAAAATTATAATTATTAGTTTATATTTTATAATTATTTTATTAGACAAATAATAACAAATTAAAAATATTTTATAATATTATCTAGTTTAAAATGTATTATTGACAATTGTAAGAAAAATAGTACATTACATGATTTATAATGTAAAAATTCATAAATAAAATAAAAGATTTGATTATCAATATAAAAATTAATAAAATGCGTACAAATTTTGGAAATAACACTTCAATTTTTCAAAAATTTATTTTTTTAGGTTTCTATAATAAATTTAGTAAAAGAGATTGTTAGTAGAAAGATGGAGATTTCAAATAGAATAAACTTTTTATTTTTATTTTTTTTATACCTTTCATATTATTTACAAAAATAATTATACCACTATATAGAACAAAAATTAACTGTTATGTAAAAAATTAATTTTTTATTTTTCATTTTTTTATGCCTTTTATATTATTTACAAAAAGATTTATATTTATACCAACTACTATATACACAACAAAAATATTTATATTTATACCAACCACTATATACACAACAAAAATGCAATACATGCCCCAGGGGATTCGAATGCAACACATGCCCAAGGGGATTCGACCTTGGGACATCAAGTAAAAAAACAAAAAATCATAACAACCAAACCATCTAACTACATGTGA